TCATCGTTGCTTCGTGTGACGTAACTACTCGAGGTTGCCTTCCCCTACTGATGCAGGCCGATTCCCTCGCTCGAGGCCCGGGAGAACAAGTCACCGATCGGCGACCCATCGCTACGACGCTGTTACGTTAATAAGTTTATGATTAAAAAGTTACACTTTACAGTGTTACAGAACTTTTATTCGAGCAAGACCTTCGGAATTTATAGATGTAGAAATGTTACGATGTGTCGGAGTGTGTTATGCACGGTAGGAAAACCGAAAACGGACGCTTAAGCGGGGAGCTGTATTCTGCGAATTTTACTGAAACATCGGGGTCAGGTTTCACTCGCTTTGTATTGTTTCACGCGACCTTCGGCACGTTGCACGTCCCAATTCTTAGAATTGGTGGGAATAGCGGCGGACGCTTAAGTGGGGACTACTGTACTCGCTGTGCAATGCTATGCTATTTGTAGATCATTTTTGCTGCCTTTCCAAGTCGTACTTTGATCTCTGGTCAAAGTATCTTTGGACAACTCGTACTAATGACTAATTCCTAACAACGTAGCAAGGGTATAATTAAAAAAAATTATCCATTTTAGTTCATTTGCATCACAGGAAAAAATGAATAACAATGCCTTCAACACGCCAATTCAAGTAGAAAATTCATTCAAGTAGAAAATTTTCGAAAAGTGAAAAAAAAAAATATTGTGAACCTTGATGGGAATAATGGGTATTTTGTAACTTTTCGTGTTTTTTTTTTGGTATTTGTAATTTTTTTTTTTATGTTATCTTGAATAATTTTTATATTACCTTCAGCTAATTTCTGTTTTATACATCCCACGATAGAATAAAAAATTCGAAAAATTTTTTTTAAAAATTCTACGTTTTACAACGAAGATTCGAAATAGTTTGAACAGAAAATTCACTATGGAGCGTATATGCATCACGAACGTGTTAAGTGAGGCTAACTAAATGTCTTTTCGAATTGTGACAAGATGTAAAAAATATTTTTCGCCTAACATGAATGGCATCGAAAATAACTGGTAAGAATATTTTTTCCAAAGTAATTTTTTTTCTGAATTTTCAAGATCATTGATTTTTTTTCTTTTTAT